AGCTGAAACATTCGCAGTCTTCATATCGTTTTGTTTTCTTAGACAACAAACATTCTCCTCGTTTGCTTCAGATCAGTCGTTTTCCCAACGGATTTCACAATATTTCTGTTAAGAGCGACTTATGTTCGATCAGTTTTTTGTTTGCGAGTGTTTGTTTCTGTTTCGGTTTCGGAATTATATCACTCATTTGGTTGAGAGCGATTAAAAATTGAGAATATCTTCTTGAAGAAATGTTTTTCATTTTCCAAAAACAGACTTTTCTTGGGGCATCTTCAAGTGAATGTGAATGAATTGAAGTGCATTCGCTAAAGAAAAATACAAGTGACATTTGAAATGCACTTATTGTAATTTTATTTCTTTTTTTTCTCAACGCAACACAGCACTGTTCGCATTCAGATGAGTTCACATCGTAACGTTCCGTTTCTCTGAAACTTTTAAAAAGCTCCGGACAAAACAAAAACCAATCGAAATCTCTATTGAACTCACGTCTGCCCACAAAGCAATGCCTATAATAATACGAGCCAATATCTTGTGGTTCGATAACAATCTTCGGCTGACGTGCCGCACATAATCTGAAACAGCAGCAAATCAGTTTCAACGTCTAACGATAAGTGAAACGCTGGATTAGTCTTGAAACGATAAATTTGGCTAATTTAGCGTGAACACTCAAAGAGAAGCAGTAATTATTTGGAAGATTGCGATTCAGCAACTAAGACGTACAGTAAACTGGATTAAGACATCGCAAAACGCGTGTTCATTCCATATGTGGAATGAATTCAATTGATTCACCTAAACTCAGTTAAACTTACTATGCCGATGCTCAGTTGAATATGATTTAAGAGTATCTTGAACTTAAAATAACAACGTTTTGAAATGATAGATGGAATTTGATGTTTGCTTGATGAACTCCTAAGCGAAGATGAACACTCTGGAGTGGTGATACAGATCAAGGTGCTAATATGAAGGGCAATATCAATGAAACTGATGTGGCAATGAATGAGCAGTGATATGATAGTGGCTGATATCAGAGAAAGTGATTGAGTGAAATAAGCAAACCTTCCACCCAAATAAACATTGCTGACATCTTCAAGAATCGCCGATTCAGCAGCAGTCTGTTCACGTTGCCAGCTTTCATACTCTGATTTCGCCAGATCACTGCCAGCCACTTGAGAGTGCCGTCGTGTTAGTGCTAACCGACGAATTGGTTCACCACCGAGTTCATTCCTTTAGTAATTGACTCTTCATGCTTTCATTCAAGAGAAACACACAATGTTGGATCGCATGGCACCCATTTTCATAATTTTGCTATTAATATCACGTTTGGGCATGATGCAAGCAGATCTCATGCAAATGATCAGTGCCTAGTTTCCAACAACTCAGCAGCAGATCCATCGAATGGCATCTAAGAATGCGAAGAGAATTCCATATCGAATTACTAATTTCTGTACTAACTTCAAATTGCTGAATTCCTTTTGCAACTAACATAAGCAGATTCACTCGAAAATGGCATGGTTTCTGATGAATTTCTTAAGAAGTCATTATGATAAAACGAACAATAGAGATGAGCAGCAATTTCGATGAGTTGTAAACTGACCTGAAAGCGGGACACGAAACAAGAAGGTCATTGCATTTGCCATCGCCAGAATCGTCCTCACAAGGACTTTGCGCTTGAGAGGCACCCGTAGGACGAGGTTCAATTGAGGTGGTTGGTGGGCCAAGACCCCATGCGGCTGCCAAACTTTGGCAATCATGATATGCACACAGTCGAGGATAGCACGGCCTCCATTCACTTGAAAAATTTGTTCGTTCATCCTTTATGATCTACCCTCATCAACAATGATCTGGTTGATCGCTAAGCTAACAAGATGAACGC